GGTTAGCCTGGGACGAGCTGCCACGGCCCATTGCTCCCCTGGTTGCAAGTCTTGTGGGGAATCCTTGAAGTTTAGGAGGCGCATGCCTGTGGGGGAGGAGAGGGGGGAAAGGAAAGGCATGGGCATGCAGAGGTCTTGACTCAAGGATTCAGTTCCATGCCTAAGGCTCTCCAGGAGGGTTCTGTTTCCAGTTCAAATGTCTCTATTCTAAGGAAGTTCAGAGAAGCTCATCTTGCCCAGGCCTTGCCCTCCTCTGCCAAGAACAGAGGGGCCCAGGGCCCCATCACTCCCCAAAGCCCTAGATGTGAGCACTCCACCAGGTCCACAGAGAAGTTCCTGGCCTGGCACCATGGGTTCTCAGACTCGTAATTGTCTCCTCCCTTCAGGACGCACTGGGGGCAGGGCTGCAGAGTCTCCAGGTTCCTGGCCCTCCCTGCGCAGAGACAAGTCTGCACAGCCTTCACTCTGCTCCCCATCTCTCAGCACCTTCTCTGCATCCCCATTCTCCCAGAACAAAGCTGACTTCTGGGTGTGGCTAGACCAGCAAGACCCCAGTAAAAGACTGAATCTGCTTCAGACTGAAAATGCATTCCTGAACATTTTTCCAGGGGATGAAGGAAACTGGCATATCAGAATCTCCAAAAAGCCAGCCGGTTGGAGTTTTCCCTCAATGGGTATCTATTCTCCCCTCTGCCTGCCCCCCAAGAATCGCTGATTATGATTCCACTGTGTGACTGTATGCAAATGGCTTGCAGGCAGAAAAAAAAAAGGTTGATAATCACTGCTTTCAACCAGTCTGGTTGAGCCCAGACTGAGACTCACCTCACTGAATACACCAACTTTGACACAGTGTGAGGATTCCTTTTTCAGTGGCTCTCAGGTGCCCAGCTTGACTGAGCTTTATACTGTTGGCAGCCCCCCTGCTAACGTTCCCCTCTGTGACTGTGCACTGAGCCCAAGGCAGAGGCAGCAAACTGGCAGAGGCTTGCAGATGCCTTTTGTGTGGCCCACACAATTTTTTTTAAAAAGGAGTATTAGTTATCAGCATTTACAAAAAATTGGGAAATTTCATATAAAATCCCAGATTTTGGGATTCTCTTAAAGTCAAATAAGCCATGGCACACCCAGGCTGGCATGCCTGCAGGAGCTGGGTGGTGCCGCCTTCTTCAAACAGGGCAAGCATGTCCAGTTCAGTGCAGCCCGGCTCCCACCCTGCCAGTTGCTTTGGACCTGGACAGCTTCCTGGGTTGACCTTTCTCAGCCCACCCTGTAGGTTTGTACTCCTGGACCCAAGGCACCTCTTGCGATCCAGCAGAACAGGGTTCCTCTTTGCTCCTGGGCGGACTTTAGATCCCTGGAGACTTGGGTCTATCTCATAAGTCTTTTTTCTATTTTAGCAACTGAAACTGGTTGAGAGAAGAATCATTCTTTTTGAGGGTGATACCCTACCTGCTGGAGAGCCCTGGGCTTCAGGCCGGAGAAAAAAGCGAAAGCCGTACTGGGTTAGAGTGATGAGAAGGGAGCTGACGGTTTCTTTTCACCCTAATTGGCCTAATGTTGGGATGCCCATAGTTTTTCTCCCTGCTTCTTGCCCCCCCCCCCCACTCCTCCATGGCCACCCACGTGTGGCGCCCATGCACAAGCTGTTTGTACTAATTTTTGTTTTTTGTGTTTGATGTGGGTGCTCTAGACAAAGCCTAGTACTAAACCATGCAAAACTGGGCTGCCAGCTGAGCCCTCTGGTGACAATGACAGACAGTGGCTGACATCAGGGGAGCACAGAGCACCAGTAGAAATGAGTTGACTTCTAATATTCTTCGAAGCCACTTATTACAAGACTAGCATGCTCTCCTCCTGGCAAAGGTTCTACCCAGGAAAAGGTGAGATCAGACTGCTCCCTGAAAACCTGGGAATCATTACATCATCTCAAAGAACTGGGGAAACTTGCCCAAAGGGGAGATGGGGGGAACTCCAATCCTACAGACCTAGCTTCAGCCTCAACATCCAAAGGGGAAGGAAAGACAGGCATTGTCTGAGCTCTTACAACGCTAGGAACGTTCCCACGCATCATCTCAGTCCCACAAAAACTCCCTGAGCTGGGAACCATCACCCTATTTTTAGGGGAGCAAACTGAGGGTGGCAGATGTTAAGACACTTGACCAAGATGACTTAGAAGCAAGTAGAGCATCAGGGTTTGTGTGAAGCCTCAGCCTGCCACTCAGGCTATGCTCAGAGGCTGCCTCTCCCCGATCAGCCTCCCACCTCTCTCTGCTTTATTCTTCTTCACAGCTATTATCATACCTGTTACTGCATGATGTGCTTATGTGTGTGTTCACTTCCTGTCTGTCTCCCCACAGAGTGTAAGCCTCGGTGGCAGAGACCACCCATCTTGTTGCTGCTGTTTCCCTACCTGGAGAACAGCATCTGGTCCCTGGTGGACCTTTGTCTTTACTGCTGGATGAATAGGAGGGACAGCTCTTCCTGCCTCTCCATGCTGCTGTCAAAAAGCATCCCCTCCCTTATCTGCTCCTTTCTTTCCTTCCCCTCAAGAATTCACAACCTCCCTTCCACAAACCTCTAACACCAATCTCAGAGGCCAAGTCAAAAAAACATAGAAAAGGCAAATGGCTCTGTGTTCCTTCAGAAAGGGAGCTGTAAGGAAGGTTAAATCCCTGGAAATCCAAGAAAACTCTGCTGTGTGTAGAGACAGGCTTCCTCCTACAAAGGCAAAAGCGTTCATGTTGAGGAGGAAGTGATGGCTTATTGCAGACTTCCTTTTAAAGCGGGAGAAAGTCTGCAATAAACCATCACAGATAGCTTTGGCTATCCCTCCTATCCCACACGCATGCTGTTTTGCACCCAATCAAGTACTTGGAGATTTGGGATGCTGAAGCAACACAGGTGGGACTAATTAGAAAGTAGATGTGGCACAGAAAGCATCCAAAAAGTACAAATGCATCCCCAAAGTTAACGTAAGGACAAACCAGAGCAGTGGTCCCCAAACCCAAATTATCTAGGACAATGGCTCTTGAAGTGTGGTCCTTGGACCAGCAGCATCATCTGTGAATTTGTTAGAAATGCAAATTCTCAGGCCCATCCAGACCTACCAGAATCAGAAACTCCAATGCTGGGGCCCAGGAATCTGGGTGTTTTTTAAAAATATACTTTTATTGACTTCAGAGAGGAAGGGAGAGGGAGAGAGAGACAGAAACATCAACCTGCCTCCTGCACACCCCCCCACTGGGGATGGGGCCCGCAACCCAGGCATGTACCCTTGACCAGAATCGAACCTGGGACTCTTCAGTCCTCAGGCCAATGCTCTATCCACTGAGCCAAACCAGTCTTTTAGAACACTGACGTATACTAAAGTTTGAATACTACTGTTTTAGGGGACTAGACAAGTATCGATCTCTGGGTCCTGAAGATCCTGATTCAGTGGGTTTGGGATGGGGCCCAAGGAGACTGCAAGAGCTTCTGAGTTGATTCTGACTTGCACCCAGATTTTAAAACTATGAAACCTGAGGTCTCATCTTTCCCTGACCCCAGGACAGTGCCTTGAGTTTTAGACCCGTCTCCCACTATCTCCCAGTCACTCACTTACCACACAGAGCAATGATGTGGCTGCTATCTTCATGCACAAACTTCCTGGTGACAGCCTCCTCCATGATTTGCTTCACCTGCGGATAAATGGGCAGTATAGTCCTTTATTTTCTGATCAAAAGCCTGTGGACAAGTAAATAGCTTGGCTCTGCCCTCCGGTCTGGGCTCAGACACTTGCAGAGTAGATGATAGGATGGGAGGGGTGGGAAAGCCAACTTTCTTCAGCACAGACAGCTCCAAGCATTTTAGAAAGGCAACCAGAAAAAGATACACTATAAACCCACCAACCAATCAGTGCAGATGTTCTAGCCCAGGAGGAAGTACCCTGCTGTGAGAAACAGGGATAGGATGCTGTTTGCTCATCTGTACTGAGCTGGAGAAGGGCTTCTGGGCAGACGTACTGTCCTTTAGGGACAAACTGTCTCAGTACAGGCTGCAGATAAACAACCTGCCCCTCCTCTTCTCTGCCTTCTCCGAGATTAGGGGTAGGTACATCCAGGCCTTAGGGACACACTCTCCACACGCTCACAAGCCCAGCCCCTTTCTGTCTAGGTAAAATCCTGATGTTTGGGTTCCTCCTCACATGTAAAGCTTCCAAATACCTTGAAAATGGTCACACTTTTAAGAAAACACTTAAAAAAAACCCCGCCGAAACCGGTTTGGCTCAGTGGATAGAGCGTCGGCCTGCGGACTGAAAGGTCCCAGGTTCGATTCCGGTCAGGGGCATGTACCTGGGTTGCGGGCACATCCCCAGTAGGGAGTGTGCAGGAGGCAGCTGATCGATGTTTCTCTCTCATCGATGTTTCTAACTCTCTATCTCTCTCCCTTCCTCTCTGTAAAAAATCAATAAAATATATTTTTTTAAAAAACCCACAACTTAGTTTATTAACATGTACTGTAGTAGGTGTACTAGTATATCATAATTATACTTCTTGACGAATTTTCACAAACTGAACCCACCTATGAAACCAGCATCCAGATCTAGACCCAGAGCATTTGACCTGCACCCCAAAGCACCCTCCTCCATTCTACCAAGTTTCCTTCTAGTCACCACTCCCTTCAAGGGTACCCGCTATTCTGACGTCTAACATCATAGAGTAATTTTGTGGGGTTTTGTACTTTTACTAGATGGAATCACTCAGTATATAGTGTTTTGTGACTGTTTCTTTTGCTCCCCGGTGTGACTGTGAGATCATTTTCCGTTGTGTGAACACACCACAATTGAGTGGCCTTTAGGTGGTCTGCAGTTTGGGGCTGTTATGAATAGTGCCGCTATGAACATTCTGGACATGTCTTTGGATTTATATTTTTAGGCAAGGAATTTCTGATGCCTGCTTTCTGATTTACTAGATTTTTGCCAAATTGTTTCCAAAGTGGTTGTACCATGCCCTAGCTGGTTTGGTTCAGTGGATAGAGTGTCGGCCTGCAGACTGAAGGATCCATTCCGGTCAGGGCACATGCCTAGGTTGCGGGTGCGATCCCCAGTAGGGGGCGTGCAGGAGGCGGCCTATTGGTGATTCTCATCATTGATGTTTCTATCTCTCTCTCCCTCTCCCTTCCTCTCTGATATCAATAAAAATATATTTAAAAAAATACACACACAACAAAACGGTTGTACCAATCTACACTCCCATCTGTAGTATATGAGGTTCTAGGTGCTCCCAACATTTAAGCCAAGCACTTCTGATGTCCTGGGGGAACCTGCCGGCCAGGAGACAGATACAAATCCTGGAGATTAAAGGAAGAGATGACCTCAAACCCCCTGTAAAATGTTCCAGATAAAGTAAACTCCTGGCAGAGCTGGTGTTTGCCATTCTTTTGGGACCAGACATGAAATGTCTTTTTTTTTTTTAAATATATATTTTATTGATCTTTTACAGAGAGGAAGGGAGAGAGATAGAGAGTTAGAAACATCGATGAGAGAGAAACATCGACCAGCTGCCTCCTGCACATCTCCTACTGGGGATGTGCCCGCAACCCAGCTACATGCCCTTGACCGGAATCGAACCTGGGACCTTTCAGTCCGCAGGCCGACGCTCTATCCACTGAGCCAAACCGGTTTCGGCTTGACATGAAATGTCCTGATGCTGCCCTGGCTCCCATGTCCCTCACCCAGGACTGTACAGTGAGAAGGGTGGTAGAGCTTCTAAAGCCTGGGGGGCAGGGAGGAAGGAGATGGGGGCTCCTTCTCGCTTGAATTTGCTCATGGTTAGCAATTAGGTAAAGGGGTTCAGATCAATCTTGCACTATAATTTTTTTTAAAACTAAAAATGTTTTAAAACTGATTTGAGAGAGGGAGAGAAACATCAACTTGTTATTCTATTTATTTCTGTATGCATTGGTTGATTCTTACATTGCACTCTATACTCCTAAAAAAAGCTTCCCAGATTATTGACCAAGGCTGCTTGCATTAAACAGAGCATAATGTCTCAGCTCAGAAACCTGTGGGCATCTGACGCAGGCTGGCAGGGCAGACTTTTAGCTTAGGAGGACCTACAGGTGCCCCTAGAATTTGGATACCAGAGGTTCATTGCGAAAGGCCAGCCTTGCCTACAGCTATCCCCCATGTCTCTACTGGTAGGAGAAGAAAGGATATTTCTCTCAAAATTGAGTACTCAAACGGTAAGGGAACGAAGTTCAAAGCAGGTCAACCTTTGTCAGGTAATGTAACATAGCTGTGACATATTCTGGACATGTCTCGCATTTGTTTAGGAATCATTCTTGGAGTTTGCAGACAGCCTTCCACATACTGAGAAAAGAATCACTGTCTCCTCAAAAATCTTTCCTATCATCCCTGACTAACCCCAGATTTGAATCACACCAACAATCCTAGCACCTCTGGCCACAGTTTGGGTACGCCTACTTTTTGTTCTTGCTTATACTGTTCATATCCGTCTCTGTCACTGGACTGCTTGTTTCCTGAGGATAATCGTTGGGCTTTGAGATTTCTCTTTTCCTTGGGAGAACAGAGTTGGGGCTTAAGTGCTGATCTGATATACTCCTGGCCTAAAAAAAACTATTTCTTGGCCACTTCACAGCAAGGGCACAATGGAGCTCCGCGCCCACAGCTGGAGAGGTGATGGCTTCAACGACTTCTTTGCCAATTAGAGGGAAAGGAACAAATGTTAGGGCACAGTAGTCAGGCCAGATAATGCAGGAGAACCATCGAGAGCCTTCCAGGATTTTATGAGAACCAGACTCTTCTCCAATCCTGAAACTCTAGGAGGGGGTAAAGAACCCAATACGGTACCTTTTATAGGTGAGGTAGATATTGTTATCTCTATCTTAGAGATGAAGCAATTAATATCCAGAGAGGTTAAGTAACTTATTCAAGATCACACCGAGATAGGTCCAGACTATTTCAAAATGTATGCATTCCCACCAGACCTTGCAGTCTTCAAGATCAGTAGATTTAGTTACCAATCATTGAGTGCCTACTGTGTGCCCTGGAGACAGAGTAGTGGACAAAACAGACAGTTTTCCTGCCCCCCTGGAATGTACACATCTGGCAGACACAGAGGTAGGTCAGAGTTGTTCATGGCTCCAGAGGCCTAATCTATTTTAATCCATTCTGCGGGTTTGAGCTCTCCAGCTCTCATATGGGGGTGAGTCATTCATATGGGCACACACCCCCCCCCCCCAAACCGAAATTGAAATAGGCTTTAGGGCAGAGTCAAGGTAAAAGACGTTAGTTAGTAGAAAAAAGGATTCTTTTTCTGACATGAGGCGGGGGGCTCCTCAAAAGGGGGGGGGATCTGAGTCTTAAAAACCATTCTCAAACTCGCCCTCCCACCCACTTCTCTGGGTAAGGAGGTGGGCATGAATTGAGCAGCAGTGAGGTGTGAGGCGAACCCTCCCGCAGCTGCCACTCAGTTCCCAAAGGGTACCAGAGTGGGGTACAGGGCAAACAGGAGCGAAGTCCCCAAATCACCCGGTCAGCCTCACTAGGAGGCCAGCGCGGGGCCCCGCCCCCTCCCGAGTCCGCCCGGGCAATGCACGGGCAGCTTCAGTTTTCCAGAAATCGCCGCCACCCCTCCCCCGACCTCGGTCTCCCAGCGCAGCTGCCGTCACAGGGCGGGGAGCTGCAGGATCGCAGAGCAAACAAGCCCGGGAGCACCGGCCTAGCCCCTTGGACCAAGGGGCGCTGACCCCAGACCCGGGAGGAGGAGTTGGGAGCCGGCCGCTAGTCCCAGGGCCCCCCGCCCCGGCCCGGGGGCCTGCCAGCGCCCGAGCCCGACGGTGGGCGCGGACCCTTCACTGGGTTCCTCGGGCAGGGACGCGAGCCCCCGGGGGTCCTTGCCCCGACTTTACCTCCTTTTTCACGTTCCACAGCAGTTTCTCTTTGAGTGCGTCTTCCGCGCTGCCCATGGTGCTGCGGGTGGCGGAGAGGCCGCGTCGAGCGCCCCCCCAAACCCCCCTCGCCGCCTCCGCGCCTCTCGGCTCAGCGCCCCACGCGCAAAGCGGAGCCCCCGTCCGCTGCGCTCCCCGCCCGCCGCCGCCGCCGCAGCCACTGCCCGGTGCTCGGCTCCGCAGCCATGTTCTGAGCCCCGCACAGACGTCAGGCAGCTGGCCCGGCCCCTTCCCACAGCCGGGGCGGGAGGGGGGGGCGGTGCGCTCGGAGACCGGGGGCGGCCGGCCTGCGGAGTTTGCGCCACGCCGGCCGCTGTCATGGCAACGCGCCGGCTTCAGTCCCCAGGGCGGGAACCCGCATTGTGAGCACCTGCAGCCAGGCCGGCACAGCGACCCCGGAGGCGAGGCGCACCCCTGAACCCTGCGGCTGAAGAGAAAGTTGCTCGCGCGGTAACTGGCCTCAGTCCAGCTGGGCGCGCTCCCTGTTTTCTACCGGCTCGTTTTCCCGACGGGAAAGTCCGGGTGCCCCCCGCGCCTCCAGTCTGGCCACGGGAAAGGAAGCGGTGGTCCCCTGGCTGCAAGGCCAGAACTCCACCGCTGCTCTACTCCCCCTGCCCTCCCTTGCAAAGCTTGTGGGCAGGCGTGGGAGTGCAGGAGACAGGAGCTTCAAGAGGCCGACCCGGCGTCGTAGGGGCCGTCGCGCCCAGTGCGGCACTTGTTGCAGCTCTGTGGGAGGTGGGGGCGCGGGTTGGGGCAACCGGGACCCGCGGGGACTGTGCGGAGCCCGTGAAAGTTAGAGAAGCGCGTTCCACGCTATTTGCTTGCCTTCAGCAGCACCACCAGGGAAATGAGGGTCGTGAAACGTTGCTCAAAGTGATGCGGCGCACAGGCTGCTGCAAAGTCAGCAGCGGCGTGTGAAAAGCTGGGTGAGCGGAGGGGCTCTGCCCTCTTCCGCACGGATGGAGAAGCTGCCATTCAACATCGTCCTCAGTGATGCAACTTGTTAGAGCAAAACTGAATATAAGGAGAGCAAAACAGCTCTCTGGAAGTAACAGCGCAAACTTAGCGTCTACATTCGGCGTTTGAAAGCCCCCACAGACCGACAGCCGCGTGGGAAAAGTTTACCAAGCGGTTTTGTGAAGGCGCGGGAGCGGCGGCTAGGACCCTCGCGAGAGGACGAGGAGAACCCCGCCCCGCCCCTGGGAGGACACGCCCCTAAGGGAGGGACCGGAAGCACTCGTTCCGGGCCGGAAGTAGTGCTGACTTGGTCCACGTGAGCGGCAGCATGGCCGCCCACCGCTCAGGTCCGCTCAAGCAACAGAATAAAGCTCATAAAGGCGGACGGCACCGGGGTCGGGGATCCGCGCAGCGGGACGGCAAGGGTGAGAAAGTAGGGTTGGAGGGAGAAGGGCTTAGTCGATGTAACTGCTATTCTCTATGCCCAGTCTCAACTCCTACCTCCCTGGACCCAGCGTAAATGCTCTAAGGTGGGCGAGAAGAGGTCCCCTTTCTTGACCTTATTCTGGTCCCCTTTATGATCTCCCTCCAGGCCGTCTAGCACTGAAAAGCCTAAGCAAGAAGGTGAGAAAGGAGCTCAGCAGAGTAGACCAGAGGCATCGCGCCAGCCAGCTTCGGAAGCAGAAGAAAGAGGCGGTGAGAGGAGTGGGGATTGGGGATGGTGTGGCTTCACAGTTGTTCTAGGGCGGATAATGCCTCCAACTAGAAATATGACCTGGGAAGGCCGTAGATGGTGAATAACCCTGGAGCACATGCTAGTTGTGCAGGTCTAGATTCATGCTAGAGCATCCTTTGCTTTGGTCTGAGCTCCTGCCCACCCCCCAGGATAAACAGGTGGCTTTTTACAAGAGAAATGAATCGGGGTAGGGCATCCCTACATTGGAAAGGCAATAATGGAAGGAAGTGCTGAAACTGAGATATTCTCTGGTCCTTTCTATTTTCAGGTTCTGGCAGAGAAGAGACAGCTGGGCAGTAAAGATGGCCCTCCTCATCAGGTACTGGTGGTGCCCCTGCACGACAGGATTTCCCTGCCAGAGGCCTTTCGGCTGCTTCAGGATAGGGACACTGGAACAGTACACTTGAATGAATGGGGAAGGACCCACAGCTTTATGCTGTTATGCCCCGGCTTGAAACATCGGTGGTTTTTCACATCTGCAAGGCCAGGTTAGAGTATACAGTATTTTCTATCACTGTGTATGAGTAGTGATAATATTTTTTTAGTATTATGTGCTGATGCCAACCACCTCTTCCTACTGACTTTGTCTTCTATCTCCAGGAGATCTGCACACTGTGCTAGACTTGGCTAAAGTGGCTGATAGCATCCTGTTCCTCCTTGATCCACTAGAAGGCTGGGACAGCACCGGGGATTACTGCCTTTCCTGTCTCTTTGCTCAGGGCCTTCCCACCTATAGTAAGTGATTTGGAAATACTGGTGGCCATGAAGTAAGTGAATTAGCTCTTAGTGTGCACCTATATCTTGCATCAATGTGCCTTAAAAAAATTTTTTTCAATTACAGTTTACATTCAATATTTTGTATGAGGTGCCTTTTTATTTCTGGACTGCCCTTTGCCCAGAGGAAGAAGAGTATAAAGTTTGGTTTTACTCTGTAATTTCTTTAAGGTAGCTGAGTGTTGGGTTTCCCAGTGATCTCTGTGCTCACAAGTGTTAGCTTTTTTGTGAACTTGCTTGGGGAATTTTCATGTAGTGAAGCAAGAAGTCATGAAGCCCTTTTCTCTTTTGCTCCTAGCACTAGCTGTCCAGGGGATTTCTGGCCTCCCGCCGAAGAAACAAGTAGATGCCAGAAAGAAGCTAAGTAAAGTAGTGGAGAAGCGCTTTCCTGATGACAAGCTCCTTTTGTTAGACACGCAACAGGAGGCAGGGATGCTTCTCCGGCAGTTGGCTAACCAGAAGCAGCGGCATCTTGCCTTTCGAGATCGGCGGGCCTATCTTTTTGCTCATGATGCTGACTTTGTGCCTAATGAAGAGAATAACCTGGTGGGGACCTTGAAAATTTCAGGCTATGTTCGTGGACAGACTCTGAATGTAAATAGCTTGTTGCATATCATTGGACATGGTGACTTCCAGATGAAACAGATAGATGCTCCTGTGGATCCTTTTCCTTTAAACCCTAGAGTGATCAAATCCCAAAAGGACTCAGGCATGGCGATGGAGGTAAGATTGATGTTCTTAAAGAGTATGTATTGTTGCTTCATGTGTAAGCTGGTGTATGATGGAAACTAACTTCAGAGAAGGTAGTCTGCATGCCCAGACAACTACCCTAGTCCCTGGGGGTGACTGCTAGTTGGAAGTAAGGCACTAGTCAATTACAAATATGTTGGTATGTTATATATTTATCCAGCACTCTGCAGGTGCCTTACACAGCTCTGGGTTTATAGGAGACACAAGATGTAGTCTCTTTCCTCAGACAATTAGGTCAGGAAAAACAAATGGCAAACACCTGTGAAATAAAGATTGGGGAAGTGTGGTTGAGGTACAGACCTGCGGTGGGAGTTGTAAACTAATAAGCTTCACAGAGATATCAGACATCAGCAAGGTGTTGAATAGGGTGAATGTGATTTACAAGTTTTAGAGAGATGAAAGAATATCCTAGAATATAGAGACAACATGAACCTAGCATAATGGTGGATCAAAGGATTTCTTTGAACTCTGAAGAAATCAGCTTGATTGGGAATAAAGTATGTAACAAAAAGATAGTGGGGCCAGATTCTGAAAAGCCTCCAGTCAAGCAGAGGTATAGGCTTAAAATGCTAGGAAACAGAACCATTTGAAAACACTTGACACATTTTGGCTTTCTCTTTCAATTTATTTCATTCATCTTCTACGTGAGGACTATGTTATTTTTTCATCTTTCTGGTTACTATGTTAGATTTAGTAGATTTTTCGTTAATATTTGACTGACTATTACCTGTTTTTTGTTTTTAGATATGTGCTACAGATGCTGTAACTGACATGGAGGAAGACCTTAAGGTCCTAATGAAGGCAGACCCTGATAGACAAGAATCTTTGCAAACAGAGGTTATACCTGATCCAATGGAGGGGGAGCAAACCTGGCCCACTGAGGAGGAACTGAGTGAGGCAAATGGTTGGTAATGGCAGCTTGTTTGTAATTCAGCTGGCCTGGAATTGTGGATTTTGTCTAGCTGCTCACAGTCAAGACCTATAAGGTAGAGTGGGATGAGGATTTATTTAGAGGTTTGTCTCTTGTCCCCCAAATGCTTTCTGTTTGCTTAAGCAAACATTGGACACAGCTTTGCCTCATTTCTCAAAATCACTTACTATTTTCTAATGAAAACAACTTGGGATTCGTTGTAAGGTTTATTTAGTTAAATGTTGCTAGTTTTGAGGCAGTGGAATTAAATTTGGAAGTAGTAGTCTGTTTTGCCTATTGTGTCTGCTAGAGTTTTTGGTGTTGGCAGCAACATCTGGTTTTTCCTAGGTGAGAATACCCAAAGTAATAGGGGAAAGGAGGTATATAATTTACTTAACTCGTTTGGGCTTTTACAGACTTTTTGAAGGAAAGTTCCAAGGTGGTAAAGAAGGTTCCTAAAGGAACATCCAGCTACCAAGCTGAATGGATTTTGGATGAGGATGGCGAAAGTGGTGGGGAAGATGATGAATATGATGATGTAGAACATGAGGATTTTATGGAAGAGGAATCTCAGGTAAGAAAATAGTCCCTTAGGCCACTTCTGTATACAGCCCCAACTGCAAGGCAAAGTGCAATCCTGACCTTAAGATATGTGTTGTCAGTTGTTGTTTTTTTTTTAATTTTTATTGATTTTTTTTTTTTAGAAAGGGGGAGAGAAAAACATCAATTTGTTGTTCCAATTATTGTTATTTTTTAATCCTCGCCTGAGGACTTTTTTTTTTTTTTTTTCCCAGAGAGGAAGGGAGAGGGAGAGAGAGGTAGAACCATCAGTGATGAGAGAGAATCACCGATCAGCCGCCTCCTGCATGCCCCCCACTGGGGATTGAGCCCGCATGTGCCCTCGACTGGAATTGAACCTGGGACCCTTCAGGCCCGATGCTCCATCCACTGAGCCAAACCAGCCAGGGCCTGAGGACATTTTTTCCA